CGATACTAGACGTTCCAGTGACCTGATGGTCAAAATAACCCATGCTTCTGGATCCAATTTGAGCAAAATTTCCAAATTGTTCATCTTGTTGATGCCCGAGAAGTGTCCATGATGAGTATTCGCATCCGTTATCAAATTTGCTCTTTCTGAATTCGTGCTTGTATCATTCCCAGCCACTCCAGTGCTGACTATAATTTCTTGAAGAAGAATCATTCCTTTGGTTTTCTATTGGGCTTCTGATAGGACAGAGGGTAAAGTCAAATATGAAGAAGAAACTAACTGATCAGACTGATGAAAAAGGAATATATGGGTTTTCTTAAACAGATAAACTCCGCTCTTCCCCTTGGTCCTTTTCATTTGGCGTAGTAGTTCCAGTGGCTTGGCATGGTTAACTTGCTTTTCAAGGACATTGGGACAGTTATTTGAAGCAGCAGTCACATTGCTCCTTCCAGACCTGTCTAAGGATCCAACATTGCATTTCTGGTTTTCATGCCTGATTCGATGCTGTTCTGTTGCTGCAACCCCAACTTCCGTCACACAACCCAGCTTCTTCAATTGTTTGGCCTAGAGGCTGACTCAATGGGAATCAATTTTTTCATCTCCTCTCTCATCCGTGCCAAACATGCTTTCTCTTGCAACTTTAAGCTCCTCTAATATGGACTCCATGAAAATTTAAAGTCATCCATTGAATCAGGCTCATGACTTTGCTTTCTCTTCTTTTTATTGCCTCTTTTGTAGAATTCCTTTTTGTCTTATTCTTTTACACCCTCACTTTTATTGCTTGACCCAATATGCATCTTGTTAGCTTCCCAAACTCGAAATGAGCACCCATACCAGGATCTAGTAGATCTTTCTGTCGAGATCTTGGAATATTGATGTTTTCATTATTTTCAGGCAAAATCAAATTGGAAACCAGCTTATGCTTCTTGAGAACCGGGCTCGCCACTGGAACTTGATTTGGAATCATTGCTTGAAGAATCAAAGTCATCCTCCCTTCTCCTGAACTGCCAGCGCTGCTGAAATTTCTGGTCTTGGCTCATTTTTATGATTGGGTTTGTCACAAAAATCAAGAGATTCAAAACTCAGGATCATGCAATGATACTCGATGTGCAAGAAATTATAGAATCGCATTAAATAATTAGACCCCCTTCTCATGACTGCTTCTACGGGCAGCTTAAAAACAAGAAAAATGCGGACAAAGGACTTCCTCCCCAACTGTAACTGAACCCATCTCAAAGATCAACACTCTAGCAGGACTCTTCTCACAAACTGAATTCTCTGAAGCAACATTACTTAAAATTTCGTTCAATCATTTTCGACCTTCCGCTTTGCTCCAGCTTTATTTTAGAAAACAAAAATGATCTGACAATAGAGGAAAACAATTAAAAAGGAATCACAAAATCTCTCAAGTACTATATCACGACAAAACACGCAATCATACTAACAGATAGATCACAGCCAAATAAGGATGGAATTTCAAAATAATTTATTGCAAAGAAGAAACACCTAATTGCAGCAACTTAAATAATTACTGCAAAATTCACCAAATCAGTATGGTAATATTTATTGTAATCACTTTTCCCCAAAAAAGCCCGCGTGAAAAATAATTACCAGAAAAAAAAAAATAGTTATAAAAGATGGTCATAAATTCAAATCATAAAAATTATATCAAAATCAAGAAAAATCCACATGAAGAGGCAACATCACAATTTATACACTGTATGCATGGTAAAAATCAATACAATTGAAGAAAAGATATGCATACTCACCAAGGCAATCATCCAAATAATCAAAACCTTAGGCTACAATTAGCAAGAGAATAACAAAGAAGTCCCGAAACTAGAATAACAAATCACCAACAACACAACAACAACATCAAAACTCCCAAAACCCAGAAACACAATCACTATAACATCAGTTAAAGGGCATAAAGAGAACGATAGCACAGAATGTACACTACCCATAAGCTGTTTTGCTTTACTTTTTTCTCTGGCGAACGAAATATCAAACACTATAAGACAGCAAAGGAAGCAATATAACATCAAGAACCCCAAAACCCAGAAATACAATCACTTATAACATCAATTAAAGGGCATAAAGAGAACAATAGCACAGAATGTACAATACCCATAAGCTGTTTTTCTTTTCTTTTTTATCTGGTGAAAGATAGATTCTTACCATGAATCAATTGATAAAATATGCTCCACAGAAGAGACTCCTTCCCTCATCCCTCTCTCTCTCTCTCTCACTCTTACTCTCTCGGTCTCGATGGATGTTGTTTTCTTTCTGCATTTATTTCATGAACTTTTTTTCTCAAGATAGGATGAAAAGATACAATCTTTATATCTTTATGCCTGTTTGTGAAGTTTCTATATGTGCAGTGCTTTTCTGTACGAGGGATTGGAGTGGATTTGTGAGTAAGCTGTTGTTGTGTTGGCAGAGAGAAGCAGTGGGATTGTAATGGTTGATTACTCTTTCTCAAATTGGTCCGGTAGATATCTATCTGCAAACTCAATTAATGATACTTTATTTTATATTGTATTTTTCTAAAAAATTAATAACGTACTTTATCTGGTATCCACCAAACACAACGTTAAGGAAAGGAAAGATTGCCTTACTCTGGTGGCCACCTTATTTTCTCGTTCGTTGGTTCTTTCTGTTTTCTTTTTTCTTTTTCCATTTTGATTTTTTTGTTTAAAAATTTAGGAAGTTTAACTCCACATTCGTTATGGTAAACTAATAAACTTATTACTATTGAGTGGGTTGGTCCAGTAAAATGTCAATCGAACTTCTCATCTTAAGATTAGATATTTGAGTCTTAGAATCTACAGTGGGACTCGATATTCAATTGTTATACTAGTGTAATTAAGTTTATTTTTGAGATGAGTAACAGACGCGATTAAGAGTCTTATGATCCCACTAATGAGAATTCATTGGAATAATCTCTTGGCACTCTCTTTTGTCTCATCCCTTTTTTGCTTATTAAAAAAAAAACTAGAAATCTTATTAACCAGCAAAAAATACCTTGGAATTATGATTCAAGCCTATAATGTGCAGATTAAATATAATAACATCGTCGGCCCTTATGTTAGGCAATAGGACAACTTGAAATTAGGAAAGGTAAAAGATTGATTAGGCCCCAAAATGTATCCAAATTTTTTTTAGGCACCCATTTTTTTTTTTGAATGGTTCTATGCACCTCTTCTTTTCAAATGTTAGAAATATTCATGTTAACTTACACGCACTTTAACTAATATCTTATTCGGTCTGGTTAAAAGATAAATCATTCATGTCAAAATTAAAATTTTTATGAAAGATAAATAATTAATTCTTTATGACCTAACTTTAATAAATTATGAAAATTTAAATTAAAGATATCTGAATTTATAATTAGTTCACGTTACAACTTGAGTGAACAATTCAAAAAGAATTTTCGTAAAGGTACATTTTCATAAAATCTTAAAAGGAGAGCCAAGTTCCATTTTTCGTAAGGTCTTTCTTTTCGATGCCCAATAGAAAGCCCAAAAAAAGAATGAACAATTTACATTTTAGAAAAGCCTCTTTCAAGCCCTAAAAAGAGGAAGCCTTATTCATTTTTAGAAGCCCACAAATTGAGAGTTTTGACGGGAAAAGACAGCCCAGCAGGCACTAAAATCACAAAATGATCACGACGTTTATATTTCTAGGGGCGTAACTCGAGTAGGTAGGACTGGTTGGATAGTCAACCCTAATTCAATTTTAAGTATATAATTTTTGATCTTAATTCTTAAAGTTAACCCTAATCCTACTTTGGGTTGATGGACTCAACTCAAGCAATGCCCGAGTTAAATTCGGGTGGCCCCGGGTTAATAATTTCGAATTGATTTCAAATTATTTTATCGGCTAATTTCAGGTTAATGTTTTAAACCTGATACGTATATTACATAATATTTAAATAATTTAACAACCAACAACTTCAATCAAATTTTTAACATAAAAATCATAATATTAAGAACTTAATATAACAACAATTATACAGAATATTAATAAACACAAAACCAGTTTAACAAAAATAAACAGAACACAAACACTGCTGCCAGAGAATGACTAATATTCTCTTAAACAAATATATTTCCAAGTCAAAATTCAACAATATGCATAAACAACCGCATCTTAGCATAAACACAAATGTCATATGAAACTTTCTATTTTGATTTGATTTGAGATTAACCTAGGATAAAATTATATTTATATAATATTAATTCGAGTTGTACCCCGATTCTAATATTCGGATCCAATCTGTGAACCCGATAGTTCAATCCAAGGTTCGCCTAAATTGAATTTGGGTTTAGATTTTTTGACCCATGATCAACCCAAATATTAAAAACTCTAATTCAAATCCTAATTTTTTCGGGTTGACCTGAGGTTGAAATCAGGTTACCTAACTCAAGTTGCACCCTAATTATTTCCTGTCACTTGAACACTTTTTTTTTTTTAATGGTCAGAGTCTTCAAATTAATTTATGCTCACTTTTATTAATTTTTTTTTATCTAATTTGGTCTAAGACTAAATAATTTATAAAAGATAAATTCAATTATTATTAAGATTAAAATAAGAAGAAGTTCCGTCACTCGAACACGTTTCCTATTCAGGTACGACTACCGACAAAAGTTTATTGCTTATTTTATGCATATTACCATATACGTTTAATCATGGAAATTTGGACATTTGTCATCGAATTACGCACAAGTTTCAACTTTGTATGTTTTTTTTGGGAGTAATTTGAATTGGATTGTCGAAACTCAAGTTTGACCAAAGATGAGATTTAAATATGGATTTGAGGGGGTTAATGTTAATATATTTGTATATATTTAACTTTTTTGTTTCTTAACCAATTTGTATATATGAGATATATAGGATATATAGAGATATAAATATCATTTACATATTAAATCCCCAAACCCACGAGTGAAACCCACCCCGCTTGGGTTTCATGAAATCCAAATATATGGGTTTTATGACCGGATCATGATCGGACTGAGTTTGAAATCTTATTCATACTTCCTAGTTGTTAAATTTGGGTTCACTCCCCAACCCATGTTCCCAAAAATCTCCAAACCCACGAATCAAACAACCCCTTTATTCAATTTTTAATAAAATTTGGATTCTCTTGTTTTCTGATTCATCTACTACCAGATAGAATCCATTCAAGAAAGAATATTTTGGTTTTGTTGATTCTGTGATGGAAGAAAAAGACTAGAATGCTTCCAACACTAGTTCGAAAAATAGTGTTCAACACTTTGGTTCTAAGATTTTTTTTTTGAATTTTATTGCTCTCAAGCTTTCGTTTCCGCTCTATGTAATATAAGTTAAGGGTGTTGCGTGGTAGTATTTAGGTATGGATTGTGCGCGTGTTATGTTATGTGTAAAGTGAACCAAAAACCACATGACTAATGGTACCCTTTTCTCGCAACCAAATTCACAATAGCTTAAAAGAGTTGTTAATATCATTCCAGTGCTCTTTAGAGAGCCTTGGATTCCGAATGGATTTAGGGACACCATACCTGAATCCCAAGCTCGCCTGCTCACCGACATGTGCCCAATCTGTGAAAAATCAAATTCTAATACTTATGCACCCACCAAATGCTATAATTTGTGTTAGATGCTGGAAGTACCCCATGTTGGATGGTGGTTGGAGTGTGAAAAATATGAATTTAATGCCAAATTTTGACAACTTGACTTTATATAGGTCGATAGGGAAGCCATATAACATGTAGACCCAACAATGACGTGGTAACACACGGTACCCGCGTGCAGATAACTTGAAAGAGAAGATACTAGAGCGTAAATATTTTGAAAAAAGGTAAATTTAATTGTTAGATGTGGTTATATTAAAATTTAGGTGGTTAAACATGGTTCACGAGAAAATTATAGTTGGTTATATCTGGTCATTTAAAAAAATTGAGTAGTGATAGTAATGTAATTAGGAAACAATTAAGTATAGTGAAA